TGCTCTCTCTCTCTCCCTCACTCTCAGTCTCAAATAAATAAATAAAATCTTTAAAAAAGAGAGAGAGAGAAGAGTAGAAATTCAACAAGTAGAGAAGTGGAGAGAGGCATTCTAGGCAGCGGAAACAGCATGTTCAAAGGCCCTGAGGCGGGAGAAGCTCAACACTCTAAGGAGCTGAAAAGCCAGTAGAGTTAAAGTTCAGTGAGCCAGAGAAGAAGAGGGGGGGATGAGGCCGCAAGCTTGATCTCCCTGAGGCAGGACCTGGAGCTCTCAGGGAGTGTCACCGGGATATCAGGCCCCCCTGTGCAGACAGGAGGGAAGGAGAGTTTGAGGAGAGGCTAGGAGGGGACAGACAGATGTATTAGAGGGGGCTTCCTAGCATGTCTTTCTAGGAAAAGTACTAAGAGGAGGTCCCAGTGGGACACTTCTGGGGTTGCAAGAGGAGAGGGCGAGAATCCTCGGGGTTCTGGGGAGAGACAGACTCCTTTACCACATAAGGAATTGATTGAGCCAAATAAATTTCCCTCTGAAAAATTCAGCATCCTTGGAACAGCCCGGTGAGTCCCTCCACCCCTGACCCCAGAACGTTGAGGGAGGGGACGCAATGTCATCTCAGGGAGCTCCTGGCCTCCCGCCTTCTCCCCCCGGCCGGGAAGGGGATGGGCACATTGTTGAGGGCCAAGTTGGCGCGGCATTCTTGCCCAGCATTTCCCTCGGTCGCACCTGAGAATGCTGCTGGCTGCTTCCCACGTGCTCTGCGCCTCGGGTGATGGGTCGAAGGCCTTCACTTGCTGGCACTAGCTCCTTACCTCACAGTTACCCCGAGACCTGGCTATTTTCATTACCACTTTAGGGCTGAGGACCCTGAGGCTCTGAGAGGGCCTCCGGCCACACAGCTAGGACATGATGCTTTGTCACACCGGTTGTCTCAACACCAAAACACCCCACTGAACCCTGGCCACAGCCTCAAGTGGCACCCAGTGTCCTCATTTTACGGGGTGTGCATTGGGAGGCCAGGCGAGGGGAGGGGTCAAAAAGCTGCAAGGTGGGTCTAGATCATTTGTAGGAAGAGGCTGAATGGGAGACGTGAGGGGTCTGAGCAGTGTGGAAAGGAAGGGGTGGGACTGGGGATTGGACGCTGACAGGGTTTCAGTTTCCCTTTTAAAGGGACTCCCCCGGGGTGGGGGGATTTTTGGTTGGAAAGTTGTAAGCAATCCACATTCCACCCGTTTGGCCGCCTCTTCCCCAGTGGCACCCAGGATCTGAACAGAAACTGAAAGTTGGGAAGAGGGGAGGGAAGGGGGAAGGGAGAGGCTCGGGCAGCCCAGGGCACCCGGGTTGAATTTCTGGTGACCTCATCGAGCCTGGGGGAGATAGGCAGGTGAGCTGGTGACACACCTCTTGGCTATTGGGGAAATTGAGCCCCAGAGAGCCAGCTCGGTTAGTGACTGGGCCCTGGCCAGGTTACACAACCACCCCACGCACGCACGTGTGCACACACACGCACATGCTCGTTCACAGAGACCAAGGGAAAAGGTGGGGGAAGGAAGAAATAAGAGGGCTGATAGGCCTAAAATTTGGAAAGAGAACCTACAGAATCCCTGTCCCTGTGATTTGGTGACTGGTGGAATGGGGGGGTCCTAGTGAAGAGCCCCTAAGATGCCCCAGGACCCAGCCCCAGGTTCAAGGCCCATGACTGGCAGGGAGGCTGCGGACCAACCCAGAACCCGACATACCCAGGATGCTGGGGAGTCGAGTCCCTGGGTTCCCGAGCCTGGGGCCGCCTGGCCTCTCGCTGCTGACACCCTACGTACT